CAATACGTTCCGCGTACATTTGAAACCTTAAAGGATTCAAACTGGTCTCTCATTTTCTATTATTTGAAGTCATTCACTATAGAAATTATCTATGTAAAAAGAAGTGAGATCCCCATAAAAAACTTAAAAGAAGTAAAAAAATTACGCCAAGTACATGAAAAAGTAAAGGACTTAAAGAGTAATCGTAGAAAAATAGAAGATCCCCCTAAAAAAATTCAAGAAAGTAGAAAAAGAAGTGAAATCGAAATGAGCTGGCAGTACATGAAGGTGCTTTCCAGCAAAGTGAAAAGGTGACACTGTATAACACAATGAAAAATTCGGTGCTTTCCAACTATGCGCAGCTAAAATGCTGTGTTCAACAGTGCTGACGTTCAGATCCTAATGACAATTCATGTAAAGTGACTGCTCCGCACTTTAGCGGTGACATGAAGAAGCTAAATAGTGTATCAACCACAAACTGAGACTGTTTAGACATTTGCCTAGATGTCCGTGGCCTGGAAGTCAAATGCTTGGCGTGGCCAGGCAAAGCATTCTCAGATCATCAATACCCATTCTTTCTCTGTCGCAGACTTTCACATAATTAGACACAGACTTTCAATTTAAAACTTTGACAACGGCCAGGCAAGGTCAAGGTTTTGATGAATAAGCATTATTTTAAAATGTAAAAAAATGGAAATGTACTCATATTGTCAGCGTTTTAAACTGACAAATTATCTGAAAGTCTGCGACAGAGAAAGAATGGGTATTGATGATCTGAGAATGCTTTGCCTGGCCACGCCAAGCATTTGACTTCCAGGCCACGGACATCTAGGCAAATGTCTAAACAGTCTCAGTTTGTGGTTGATACACTATTTAGCTTCTTCATGTCACCGCTAAAGTGCGGAGCAGTCACTTTACATGAATTGTCATTAGGATCTGAACGTCAGCACTGTTGAACACAGCATTTTAGCTGCGCATAGTTGGAAAGCACCGAATTTTTCATTGTGTTATACAGTGTCACCTTTTCACTTTGCTGGAAAGCACCTTCATGTACTGCCAGCTCATTTCGATTTCACTTCTTTTTCTACTTTCTTGAATTTTTTTAGGGGGATCTTCTATTTTTCTACGATTACTCTTTAAGTCCTTTACTTTTTCATGTACTTGGCGTAATTTTTTTACTTCTTTTAAGTTTTTTATGGGGATCTCACTTCTTTTTACATAGATAATTTCTATAGTGAATGACTTCAAATAATAGAAAATGAGAGACCAGTTTGAATCCTTTAAGGTTTCAAATGTACGCGGAACGTATTGCAGGAAATCTCATTGCAAGAAATTTATTAAAGAAAAAATGTAATCACTTTATCAGTAACATTTAAGTGCAACAAGACTTTCTGTCATGTGTCATAGGTACTTTTGAGAAATTAAAGGACTAAGTCTGAGCTCTCTTTTTCTATGTTATTGTAATACAATAAATTATGTGTTACAAATAGTGGATCTCTGTTCATTTTCTCATTATTAAAATTTTTTGCAACAAAACTTTCTGCCATACATTGTGTGTACTTTTGAAAATTCTAACGACTGAAACTGATATTGCAATACGATGAATTGTGCGTTACAAACAGTTGATTTCTTTCTTCATTTCTCGCTTCATCTTTAACATTTAAATTTCTTGCAGTGAAACATCCTGCCATGCATTCTGTATGCTTTTGGAAACTTAAAGGACTGAAGCTGGTGTCTTTCCTATATCTGGCTTCAGACACATTATGTATATTGTAGACTCTATGCTTAGTGTAATAAAAGACAAATGTAGTTTTATTTTAAGTTCTACATTAATTTGCAAGTAAAATAAGGTTTGTATGTGTTATTTACAAATAATTTACACAATTTATTATATTACAATACCAGATTCAGTCCCTTAAGTTTTCAAAAGCACACATAACGCATGGCAGAAAGTCTTGTTGTAACAAATTTAAATGTTCAACATAAAGTATGAAATGGAAAAAGAGGTCCACTATTTCTAACGCACAATTTGTTATATTATAATACCAGTTTCAGTCTTTTATGTTTCCAAAGTACACACAACACATCGCAAAATATTTTGTTGCTAGAAATTGAAATGTTCAACATGAAATGAGAAATAAAGAAAGAAATCCACTATGTGTACCGCACAATGTATTGTATTGGAATAAAATTCATAAGTATACACAACGTGTGGCAGAAAAATGTACAAAGAGATCCACTATTGGTAACGCACAATTTATTGTATTATAATTCCAGTTTCAGTCCTTTAAGTTTTCAAAAGTACGCACAATGCATGTCAGAAAGTCTTGTTACATGAAACCAAAATGTCACAAATCCAAACTGACAGTTACAGGTTAGAAATGAACGAGCGGCATGAGTGACAGCCATATTACAAAAGCTTATGTGCGATTTACATAAGAAAAATGCCTTTAGATTTAGAAAATACAGCAAGCGTGAGGACATATTAATGTCAGAAGTTTCGGATTAGGTTGGAATCGCGTTTTCTCGAGGAAAAGATACGCGGTAGCGCTAGCGCCAGGCACATACGGGGAGGCTATTTTTTCATGTACTTGGGCGTCGAGACGCTACCGCGTCTCTAGATAAATAGACTTCGAACGCTTAATAGAATTCATATTTTTATATACATAAATGGAGGAACAGAAACTTAAGTGAAAATATGATGTTTTTTCTAAATGTTGTAACGTGTATTTTAAATTTTATATTTTATATATTTATGCATTTGTTCACATCCTTGTACATCTTTGTATCCTCATTTAATATCCGCAGTCTAATGAAGCAAAGAGAAAAGAAAAGTCACTTAAAAGAAGAAGTAGTGAATAATAGTAAAAAGAAAGTAAAAAGAAATCAACGCAATCTTTTAAAAAAAACTCGAACTGTGAGGTCGAAATGTTTGAGTAAATTTAAATACTAGTTTGTAGCAGACTATTTTTTGTCTTCAAATTAGATTTATATCCCCTAAGTAATCGTCTACATAAATCTTCATCATGATTAGAAATTTAGGAGATCCAGCAGATTTTGTAGAAAGTGAAGGAAATAAAAAATGTATTAAGGCCATTGACGAGTTATTCCCCCACAACGTTTGTCTACTCTTCTATCTATCCCAGTGTTTTTCAAACTTTGAATGAAGAAAGATATGGATAACATGAAGAATTCTTTATATATTTGCAATATAGAGAGTAGAAGTATGAATAAATTATTTATTAATAAGACAGTTTTTCAGGCACTTAATTTCACCAGAAATTGCTTCTAAATAATTTTGAATGTTTAACGAGTCAAAGGATCAAACAAATGTTTTGATGTGTATACTTCGAATGCAGAAACTCTCTTTTTTTTGGAGCACGCCCTTTAATAAGTTTGCAAACCGCTGGTTTACCGTATCTTCGCGCAAACAAACAGATATATTGTATGTATACAAGCTCTTCATCTCTCAAACAGAGAGACAAGCTGACAGCGTAAGACAGTCCACTTGTGGAGCCCCTTATGCGGCTTTCTTACTTTGTTCCCCTTTGCATATCATGTTAAATTTCCATGAGCAGCTCACATAAGGGTAACTTGAATAATTTCGTGACACTAAGAAATTTTTATTTCTATTTTTAAGATATTACTAAAAAAAAAAATTATGTACAGGTAAACTTGATTCCATGTGAGCAATGTAGGAATAGACCATAATATGAAATTATTCGAGTTTCCCCTGCGACGTAACACAAGTTAACGTCACTGTACTACAGTAATAAATAAAGTTGAGGAAATCCCTTGAGCCACGGAGCTTGTGGTGCTAGGCAACAATGACATGATATAATATGATCACCTAAACCTGTCGTTTATATTTAAAAATAGAACAAAAAATGATTGGGGCAAGAATGTAAAGACGTAACATTTCGTCTCTAACATTTGTCTCTTGGAACGAAATATTTTTCTTTATAATTGTTCTTTGGTGACCTTGCATGACTTTCGACTTAAGATTCAATTTCCTGTTAGAAGCAAATTAAACAAAAAAATGTATCTTTCCACTGGAAAACAATTTAACTTTTTTGAAATACCCTTGAAGCTACCATCTAGAATTAACAAGCATTACTATGCTAGACTCACCACGAAACCAAGCAATTTCTGTGTCAATTACTCCTTTCTATCTCTAAAAATAAACGAGTCACCCAGGTGACCTGTCTTAAGTGCCCCGCCCTATATGTATAGTAATCGTATCTGATGTGATTGGCAGTTAGGAAAGCGACCTTGAACGGCCAATTCTTCTAATCATAGTTCACCTAAGAAAAGATTAGGAGGGTCTCATACACTAAACGTTAAAAATAAGTTGATTTATCCTGTTTACACAAACTTAAGGTTTTATAAATAGAATATGGAAAATGAGGACGGTAAGACAGCGTGTTTTTTTATCCAAGTAGTTCGGACAACATATTTCGTCTATAAATATATAATTCTTTAAGAAAAGAAGATACTCCGTCGATGAAAAGTTTCCGACTACTTCGATATTCGTGGAAAATTCACAAATTAATGAAAAATAGGTGGTAAGTTCGTATTTTAACATTTAATCATAGATTGGTGTATCGAAATACAACAAATTACAAATATTTTAAAAATATTTAAAGTTTCAAAACTCCCTATTAAAAAGTAATTAAAAAATAATTTGTAACGTTCCATTGAAAAAACAATTTAAAGGTCTTCAAATGTTCTTCACGTCCTTTCCATTAATTTGCGAATCTTCCACAAATATCCAAATGGTCAGAAACTTTCCTCCAACCGAGTATATACTCTCTGGAACTAAGTATAAACGAATATGCAAGCTCTGAAATAGTTGCTATCAAAAATATTCCAACAATTCAAAAAGAAACGTCTTTTTACAGTATTCTAGAGTGGGAGTCTACCTTGATAAACGAGTTCCGTTAATGAATCGATAGTTTGGGTTCACTATGTGCATAATTACGAGTTGGTTGAAAATATCAGCGAATTCATTTCACTCTTACCAGCTAACGGGGGGCCCATGAGATTGGCAACACCCTGAACCAAAAGCAGCAGTCCGTACGCGTTCGTGAACCTATCCAAAGTGATTAAATCGACGAGGATGATGCTGGTGAGACTGTAGTTGGCTCCAATGAATAATCCAAAAGCACCAGATATCGCGCACAAAGTGTAATAACTGCTGACCACCATAGGTATTAAAGCTGTAACCGCACCGCAAAAAGCCATACAAACTGCGTACACAACGGATGCGTTCACCCATGCTCTGTCACCTGCCCAGCCAAGTAGAATCTGAAAAATAAGCATGCAGTTACCTTTTAATTTTTAAACGCTTGGTGGTATCTCGAATTGAATTAAGGGGAGAAACTACCTTGGACGCGTAAAATTTATAGCTATAAAAATATCAAAAACATGTTTTTACAAAAGTTATTTGGTCAAAATAGACAAATTATATATTATAAATAATTTTGTTGTGATTACAGAGTAATAGGTCAAATTTGGAAAACAAATTAATTTTTTAAAATGGAACCCTACATATCTATATCTATAATAGCATTTGCTTAGCCAAATTCATCGACCTATAATACGTGGTCATTTATTGTAATATAAAGCCTTAAATTTCCAGTTGGTAAAAAAAGGATAGAGCATCTTTATTCCTTCATTCCATCTTTTATTCATTACTTCTTTCTAATAATTAATAAAATTAGTTTAGATATTATCACTAATGATAAATACATAAGAACTATTACAATATGCACGACACATTGCATTTTAACTGCCAAGATCAGACGAGGTCGAAGGTGTAGTTCCTGAGGAATCAATAGCGGAGGGATAAATTTTCCAAGCATTATTTCCATGTTAACCTCACCACCGCATCCCTCGGATAACCCTTGCGTGACGTGAATTCAGGGTCAAAGGGAGTTTACAATCAAATGAGATCAAGGAGGGTGAATGGATCTGTTGTATTGCGTCATTGAGTGACCTAAGACGAGCTTGACGTAATAAGAACATTTAGGAAGGTTCCCGATTTAACGAAGTCATCAATCTTATATGTGTCATCGATCTGTTCGTTATTTATGAAAAGAATGCTCCACATTTGGCGTGTCTTAGTTAAATTACAAGATCTTAAATTTCGCAAATTTTAAGTTACTTTAAAGGGGTAGTCTTTTTTGACCACTTTCGAAACAATTTTCATGATCTTTTTCAAGCCAAAGTACTTGACATAAACTTTTGAAATTTGGTATGCTTATTTATATTTATATGTGTTGAATTTATTTAACATTTTTATAAAAATAAGACATTTTTTCATATCATGAACGGAAATATTTATGGTTAAATCAAATGGGTCACTCTATAGAACGTGGAATTTTAGATGAAAGATACATATCGATTGGTGGATAATGGCACCGGTAAATTCAAATACGTTGAAATAATAATAGAACTAGGGAATAAACCGCTCTGGAATTAAATTTTTAAAAAATTTTATTTACACCGACGAGCATCCTTTTCTGAAATTATGCCTTGGTGAACCAGCAAGTGGAAATAACCACTCTTTGGTGACCGATAAACAGCAGCGAAGCGAACTAATATTGGAACACATAAAGGAACAAAGTAATGGATCGAAGAAGAGAACCCGTTCAACAATGAACATCGCTATTTGGAATTATCGACATGTCGGAAAATTGACAAGCCAATGTTAAGCAACGTGAAGCACAATACGTGTGTCTATCGCTTGATTTTAAGGTAACCGTATCTTCAGTTATATTACAGTTTCGCGATTGCCGTTTCCATTGATAGAATTCGAGTAAAAAGAAAAAAATTTTAAGCAAACTTATTAACTTAGCGTTATTGCCCCTAAGAATATTTGAACACGAGGAATAAGATAATTCTAATTCATCAAATTGGCAGAAGTATTAGGTACATAAACTTTTCGGATTTCCTGCACAATTCTGAGAGATTTTTGACTTCTTTCTTAATTTTTACATATATTTATGAGTCCAATTATTTATATAAAATGTTCAATGTTAATAAATTCAATACTTACACTTTTAGTACCATTGATTAATTTATCAATGAGAAAGTATGTTTATATCGAAACTTTTTACTGTTAACAATACACGGCAATGTTATAAAAGAAACCTAATGCCTTAAAAAACAAAATATTGCATCCTATATTATCTTGTATAAGCAGCGACATTTAGAAAATAAATATAACGCATCAGCGTAACGAAAACTTTTCTAGCGAAATACGTAGATTTTTTTTATTATATTAATATTTGTATTTTTTATGCAACTCTAAGTACCGCAAGTTTAGGTTTTTATATGTCTTATTTTGGTACAATGACATTTTGTTAAAAATATACATTTTTTTAAACGGCTGTGCATTTTACTAGCTTTTGTATTAAGGAAACTAATTAGTTTCGCTTCACTGTTCTAACTTGAACCAAGTTCAAGTTATCGTGTCCACCGCAAAATCATTTATTTTTCAGGCGCTCCACTAAATTGTCTGCCAAACCGCCATTTGTTTTAAAAAATGAGAAAAATAAAAAATGATTTTCTAGTCGAATACTTATGTAATACATTAATGTACTTCAATGTAAACAAAATCTTGTTATCGCTTCAATAAAAATTCTTGGAAAAGCCTAAAAATTCGGGTGAATAATGTGGCGTAACCCTTTAAATAACCTTGAAGATTTATTTGTATTATCGTGTTTTCATATGGTATCACGATTGATCCAATAACATTCAAGAAAAATATTCCTTCCAAATTACTTTCAACTGAAACCTAATTATTCCCATTCGTTACGAATCGTCAACACGTCAAGGTGTTAAAGTTCTCAAACAAGAATTATCAATTCGACATTCGGTAAAGGAGATAATACGTGAAATTGTTTCTTACCTCGCCGCCCATATTGGAGATCCCGATCACCGATATCAGGATGGAGGCATCGGTCTGGCTAAACCCCATCTCGATAGCGTTGTCCGTGAGGTAGACGTAAGGTACGTCGTACCACGTGTGCAAGAGAAAATTGCTGATGGCGAATAGCAAGAAACGCGAGTCGGCGAAGTGCGAGAAGTCGAGCATATCGACGACGAGGTCCCAGAACTCCCAGAGACCGGCGTACCAAACGAGTTTTGTCTTCGCGATAGTGGTCATCGAATTTCTATAAATATCAGGACAACTGGAGGCCCTTAGCCGGTATCGGTGTATATTCAACATGGCACCTCGGTAGGTAAGACTGTGCCTATGCATTCTAATGTCCTTCAGATAAGCAGTGGGTAGCCTTCTCGTGTGCTCGAGGGTGCTGGACCTTCTCAGAGTGGTATCGAGATTGATCTTTTTCAACCACCACAAACGCCACGCGGCGTCCGCTTGCTGCTGAAGGGTCTGATCGTCGTTCGGCGAGACCTTGTCCTTGTTCTCACCATCCTTCAGTTCCGACAATGAGCTAGGCGTGGGCACGAACCTCGCCGACGGTGTGCTAAGCTGCTCGTGAAGTGCCCCGGAATCGCTGAAGCTTCTCGACGATATTAGAAGGCTCGGATAATTTTGCAGCAAGACGTTGTATACGTTTTTCCGTGTACTCAATAATTCCAGCACCTCCAGGGGAACCTTCTCCCCGTTTTTAACAAAAGTTGGCAGGCTCACCAGACTGGAGAACAATTTTTCTCCGTCTTCCTCCTCTTGAAGGCGAAGATTCTCCATTATCGCTAGAGTGTTCAGCGAACTGTTGGCGGATATCGAATCGACGCTGGAACTTTGTACCCTGGTTCTCTTTTTCTCGCGAATTTTCCTCCTCTCCTCGGTTTTCGCTTTCGCTCTCGTAGTGGTCCATTCGAGGTCTCTCATCAGACACCCGCACACGGCTAGGTTCAAGAACAAACCAGCCAAAATTAGGGTCGTTCCTCGCCAACCGTACTCGGCGAGCAGGTATTGCGTGACAGGTGCGAAAATGAACGTCCCGATGCCGCTACCGCACACGGACAAGCCTGTTGCAAAGGACCTCTTCTTGTCGAAGTAGTAAGCAACGATGACAACGGCCGCCACGAAGCATAGGGACAAACCGAAACCAGCGAGAATGCCAAAAGTGAATATCAAAACTTCCATCGAGTTGGCGTAAGAACTTATCACGAAGCCCGTGGTGGCTAGAATACTGCCCGCTATAGTGACTCTTCGGCAACCGTACCTATCCGTCATGAAGCTAGCCACCGGGCCCGATAGCAACGGCATCGCCATGAACAGGCTGCCGATCCAAGCGGTCTTGGACTTCCCCTCGCCGAAGTAGTTTAAAAACTCGACGAAGATCACGCCGAAAGAGAACGTGATACCGTCCGCGATAAGGTTAACCATAAAAGAGGCTGCGACCACCACCCAGCCCCAGCCTCCGTCGGGTGGCGTCGCTTCGCAGAGTTGCCCTAAACTAGTATTATCCTCGGAGCTGCTGGTAGCCGAGGTGGGAATCGAAGGGCTTGGCTGCGATCTATCCTCGCGGGAGTATTGCTTCTTCGAATCTTTATTGAATTTCACGTGATGCTGTTGCTTGTCTTCCCTCAGCGATTTCCCGTTAACGAGCTTCTCGGTGCTGTTCTCGGATGACGAGCGATTCTTCGACGACAAAATCCTCGTAGGCGAATCGAAGATCGAGTTCCTATCCGTGAGAACGTTCTTGCGTTTCTGCGGACTGGAACCATCCTCCTTGTACAGGCTGTCCGATTTTTTCACGGAGTTCTGCGAGTATTCCTTCAGTTCTTGTCTCGCTTCTTGGCGTATCCTCGAGCCAGGCACATCGTAACTGTTGTACGTTTTCTCTAAACAATTCTGCTCCTCCTCGTCCTCCGACTTCTCGCTGACCACGTCGTTCTCGTAACTCTGATCGTTCAACGTCTTCAATTGTTCCTCGACGAGGATCCCGATCTGATCGGATTTCTTCCTGTGCCGCTGAGCGTCCTTGGCGAAATTCAATTCCACCGAGGTTGCCTCGTCGCCTTTCCGCGATTCCGTTCTACGCGGCATCTCCTGCGGAGTTTTGTGCCCCGTGGAGCGTCTCCTCTCAATCAGAAATTCCTCGTCGCCGTTTCTCGTCGCAATCTCGCCATTCTTCAAATCGGCACGCAACGCTGCGTCGTTGTGATCGACACTTCTGGTGATCCCCGTTTTTATCGTGTCATTCGATTGGGTCAGCTTCTCCTCACCGTTGAACCTGGCCCACTCGGCCATGATGGTGATACCAAGTGATATAAGGAGGGCCCTGATGTTTAGGCGCGGTCATACAAAAGCCAACACGACGACATGGAACTCCACTTCTTCTATTTCTTCTTCTTGATCTTTTATTTTCTACTCGAAATGATTCCGTTCGTTTACTCTTGATCAACAAAGAAACTCGTCTTTCGGTTACCCCCCCCCCTCTCTCTCTCTCTCTGACACGAACGAGAATATTCGTTGTTTTTCGTTTTTCTTCTCTTTATGCTCTGTTTTCTCTCTTCTGTATTTCCCGCAGCACTCGATACACGCGCGCACCGCTACAAAAAAGTTACAACGCACGAATAACCACGACGTACGGACCGATCCGGAACCGGTCTAGTTTCGTCCTTGACTTGAACAACGGTAAGCACGGCCACTCGTACAGCTGTCTGGTGAATTGACGGCGTAACGGCAACAGCGATGCTGAGGACGTGGACGATTTAAAGTTCTTTGAAGGCTGATAAATCGCACCTGGACCGCCACCATCGCAAACGTGGCCCAGGATGCACGAAGTCTTCCTTCTTCTCAGGCCCTGGTCAATCGGAACCGCCTCCTCCTCCGCGAAACGATCGTCAACCCAGGCACCCATACGGCGAACGGTACAGTTTCGGCGCTTGCGGTGTATTCTAGGGGCAAAATAATAATGCGTTTGTGTAATCGACAATCAATTCAAGGAGTACTCGCGGGAATGAGCAGAATTCTTATTTAAATAAAAGTCTCGAGTTCAAAATAAAAGATAAACAGAAAAAACTATTTGATACTGGTTAGGAAATAAATTATAATTAAAAGATTTCTTTTTTGTTTTTACCAGTTTCGAGGACTAAATAGTATCATTTCACAATTTCGTGTAACTATAATCGATGGAATGATACTAAATATTTGTATAACCATCCGGAGGTAATGGTATTGTAAAAATAATAGTGCCTCGGTGTCATCGATAATCAGTTAAAGGAGTACTCACGAAGGATGAGCAAAATTCTTATTTAGATAAACGTCTCGAACTACAAGTATAAGATAAGAAACGTGTTTTTCGATGCTTATCGAAAAGACGTTAGAATTGAAGGATGTATTCTTGTTTTTTTACCAGTTACGAGAACATAATAGTCTCATTTAACAATTTCGTGCAACAATAATCTGGACCTAAGCAAATTTTAATCGAAATAGAAATAAGAAACAAACAGAGAACATGAGTAAAGAGTTATTAGGATTAATAAAACTTATGCATGATATCGACCATAAAAATTATATGTAATATTTTCTTTCTAAAAAAAAGTATTAATTAAACAAGTTGAAAATTTCACTCTTTAATATTGAATGATCATTACCTATACACAATATCCGAAATAAAAATTATATATAGTATGTTCTTTAAACAAAAAGAAAACTTTAAATATTGCTCTTCTTTGAGAAAAATATAGATTAATCCCTTCAGTAATCATTACAAAATTAAAAAATGGAAAAGATAACACATTTTTTTTATGGACGAATTTTATTTACTGAACATATATATATCCCTCATAAACGCCATTTCGGGCCTGAAAGTTGATATCTACTGATTACTTTTGGTAACATTAATCCTAATATAAATATGTGAAAATAAAATTAAAATTTACCCGAGTTACCTCGGGAATGGTCCTTAAGCGGTTAAACAAAGTTGCTTAATTGTTCACTTACAAACAGGAAACCTGACTATCTGTCAAATGTTTTTAATAAGTACATTTTTTAATCAGTATAATAATCTTATCTCCAGATAATATTGATCGTTACTTTATTATGCTTGTTAAAGTGACTGTTTTCTCTTAATATAGAGAAGATTATTCAGTTGTGATAACTACCGATATCGCCTCACTTGAAAAATGATAAAAAAAAATACTATTACGATTCTATTGCCTGCAACTTCTTCAGATATTCGAGTACATCACTCATAATTATAGTCTTTTCATTTTCGATAAGCGCAGATATTCTACAATATAATAATACAATCATTTTATATTTTAGAACGTGACGATAACACGTCTCGTATACCTTTTTATGTGTAACCTTTCTGATAAAAGTTACGAGAAGTTACTGAAACATTGAAAAGTCATTAAATACTTTAAAAATCTGCACTATTTAATCTAATTGTAAGAAATATAATTAATATGCACACAACTTATTACTGAATATGTTTTCTTATTTTATCTTCTTTTTCCAATAGAATTAAATTTATTTAGACGAAAACAAACAAGTTGATCCATTTTTTTAATATTAACCCTTCCAGTTTTTATAATAAAAGGAATATGAACGCCATCAAAGTTATTTGGAAAGACCATAGAAAATTAAACGAAATTATGTAATTTAATAAATAAATCATTTGCCTAAAATCTACTAGAATGTGAGTAATAAATCATGTCAAAACTTATGTAATGACGTAATTTAGAGAAACTTTGAACAATACCGATTGTTTGCTTAGAAATGAATTATAATTCAGTTGAAACCTTTAACTTGTATTAATTACATTAATACAAGAGAACACATTACACAGATTAAAATATACGGTTAGATTATTTGAAATTTACCAATTACGATCGCGTGAGGCGAGGAATATTTTATTCAAATTCGCAAGCAATAAATGGAAATCTTGAGATTTGTTGGGAATCATCCATCAACTGATTATATATTACTATTCAATATACCTTACTTTTCCGTCTACGCTTTTAATCGATCGGGAGGCTATAAAAGGTACCAAACCATCTTCAACGCAAATCAATACTGTTCCGGAGCTTAACGTTATTTTCCATTACTACCAACCGCATATCCTAAACTTCATCCTACCCTCCCCACTATCTCGTGCTTCAAATTACTAATAAGTGTCGTTTATCTTATGCAGTAAAGCTCTTACTACATCTGTGAAAAACAGTAAAAGATACTTGCTTTTAATGAGATAGCTTTTATTGGAAGCCAAGTAACGGTCCATCAGATAAGTCTGCCTTGTAAGGACTTTATGCTATTCAATAAAAACAACATTCGTTCTACATTATTTCAGAAAATATAGCAGAAAATGTTTGAATTAGGAGATATTATATAATGTTCCTATCTTTTAGGATACAATCTTAGACTTCTTTGATTACCTTTAAAAATTGCATCATTACATGCGAAGTATAATATATTCATACGCCGTACTTTATTATACAGATACTCTTTTTCGCTTTTTTTAAGTGTGTACTGTTCATACTTTATCTTTCTAAGTTTTTTTTTTTTTTTTTTAATTGGATAATTAAGGTCACATGCACCTTCTCAGGTTATGAGTGACCACATTTGCTTTGCGTCTGTGTTGTAGTCATATAGATTTTATATTTGATTATAGATTCCGATATCTTCCAGAAAGGATAGAATTGTTCTACATGAGTCTACCTTTTGTAACATGTTTGCTACGTTCGATATATTATATCGCCTCCTTTTTGCACTATATTTGGAACAGTGGGCTAGGATGTGCTCTATGGAGATTCGCGTCTTACATGCATCACACATCGTTGGGGTTGTTTTCGCGATAAGGAATGAATGTGTAATTCTGGTGTGACTTATTCTTATTCTGGTTAAAATCACTTGATCTTTTCGCTTCATAGATACTGCCGGACTAATATCGTAAATATTGTTGCGAATGTTATGTATAGCAGTAGGTCTTGAAGTTATCCAGTCTTGGTTCCATCGTTCCTTTGTGACTTTGGTGAGGTGTTTCTGAAGGTCTTGATTGGAAACAGGTGTACAGTGTGTTTCAGATGGAAGGGAGCTCGCTTCTTTTGCTGCTGCGTCTACTGCTTCGTTTCCTTTTATACCAACATGTGATGGGATACAAGAGTATATGAGGTCTTTTCCAGTGCTGTTGAAAATAGCGTTTTTTTCAATGACGTTCTGTATTATTGTATTGGTGGTTTCCAGAATTTGCAAGGCAGATATGGAACTTAAGGAGTCGGTTAATATAATAAAGGGCCTAGCCGATTAAGATGGTCAAAACTGCCCTTAGAGCTTTTTCAATGGCTCTTGAATCATTCGAAAGCTGACCAAGAAAAACCCCTCTGAGTAAAATTTTAACCCTCTAGCTTGCCCGTGAGGGTAGTTACAGGGTAAAATAGATTTTATGTATTTTACGTCAAAATGTGACTTAAATATTTTTAAAACGCTAAATAAATATTGTCAAACTTATATGAATAAACCATATACATAATAAGAAATAGAAAAAATAAAGTTTGACGTATAGAAAAAAAAATGCTACCGATAAGGGGATTCGAACGCTAAGAGTATCCCCGCTCCCTAGTCTGACGCCTTAACAGCCACGTCGATCGACGATATTGCTAGGGATGCGAACATTCCTGTATATATCCAACAGAATACAAATTTTTCTTTCTTTTAAATCAAATTTTTTAGGTAAAATAATTGCTTGTTTCAGTGTAATAATGCTAAAAATTACTTAATATATGCTCACGACAAAGCTAACAAGTGTAACTTTCCTCTTCGCAGCAAAAACGTCGAAAAAATTCAGTTTTTATTGTTTTTGACAATGAAGCAGCCGAACAAAAGATTTAAAAAAAATTGACGACACTGCCTGTTATTGTACTTTATCAGGGAACCAAACAGTAGAATAGCATGTTTTCATATTTTTGAGAAATAAATGTTTTTCCGATTTTTTTGAGGTTTTTCATTTTTTACGGCCACAGTTTGCAACAAACAAATTTGAAAAAATTCTCAAAAATGCGCCTTAGGATCCGAAATGTGTCAAATTTTTTTTAGAATTTTAGAATGCATTTGAAACCGGAAAATGCGCCGAAAAGCGTAAAATCTATTTTACCCTGTAACTACCCTCACGGGCAAGCTAGAGGGTTAAAATTTTACTCAGAGGGGTTTTTCTTGGTCAGCTTTCGAATGATTCAAGAGCCATTGAAAAAGCTCTAAGGGCAGTTTTGACCATCTTAATCGGCTAGGCCTTTTGTCGTATGCTGATTTCTTAACATGTAGCAGGGCTTGGAGGATAGCATGCGCTTCGCTAGAGAAGACTAAGTATGAATTAGGCAGCTTGAATAGGAGTTTGTCTTCGGGCTTGCGTACTGCACATCCTGTCCCTTCTTTAGACTTCGATCCATCGGTAAATAGTTGTTTGTGGTTTGGGCAATCGTTAGCTAGTTCTAGGAACAGAGCTTGTATGATGCTTTCGTCTGTGTTTTTGGAAACTCGTGAGAACTTGTTCTTGGGAGAACTGGGGGGATTTCAGTTTGTAGGTCTTGTAGGTAATGTTTTATTCGTAGGTTCAGCGGTTTCGGTTGCGTAGGTTTTATGCGGGTGGCAATAGAGTGATCATCTGATGTTATTAATTTAAATATAGGGTTTGTTGGCGTAGAAAATTTGACAACTGCGTAGGTTAGGCTTAGTTGCTTTCTTCTAACTTCTAGTGACTGTACATTGGCTTCGGCTAATAGTGCGACGACTCGACTGGTCCTAAATGCTCCAGTTGCAATTATAACTCCCGCAAAATGGATGGGTGATAGTAGTTTAAGAAGGTGCGGTTTTGCCAAGTCGTATACAATTGAACGGTAGTCTATTTTGGAAAGAACTAAGGCTTTATATGTTTGATCTGGATATGAAATTCAGCTCC